TAAACTAAATATACTCATAGTGAAAAAGGATATGAGATTTTGGCAGAATTCTTTTTGGGACAATTCATATATCTAAAGCATTTCCACACGTAACTTTGAACGTTCCTGTGACTAAGCTCGTGATTTTTCTCACAGACGTGGCATCTGCCACACTTAAGCTTTTGAAAAAGAAAACAGAACAGTGAATCGCAATCGCATGGATGATGTAACCCTCACACTTCAAAACGACGAACTTAGTAGTAATGGTTTTTCTTGAAGCTGTGATGCAGCACTGAGCTCGGTTTCTAACTCACTGGTCATGCATGCATTATTTAATGAAGTTAGTATATAAAGGAAAGTGACCACAGTAGCGTGCAATCACCTGTCAGTAATTTGGAAAAGATAAAACACCAGTCTCATACCCTTTCTTAATCTGGACTCGCGAGCTGTCGACGTTTCACTCCAATGTTCCATAGATTCATCATTAATTGAGTGTGACCATTGCTCCTGCTAACCATCGCTCTTGTGGTTGCATAAGAGGTTTTTGAATTGCTCCATAATCGGTTGGCCTAAGAGAACAAGCTGTTTCGTAGGTGTGCCTTGTAATCTGCTTCTGAGTCGCTCTACGTGCAAAGTTTTCTCTCCACATTTATCCGGGAAAGTCGTAGGAAAAGTGCTGAACACCACCAGGTTACCGAGAAAATCAATATCGCTCATGAAAGATCATCCGGTTCTTAGTTTTCTTCAAGCCGCCAAGCAGAATGTGTGGAAGTGCTGTTTGATAGAAGCGCCCCTTTGAAACAATGCTTAGTCTTGACATTCCTGATTGCTGCTATCAAGTAGTTCAGCATGACGTGTAACCTAAATTATTATTATTTATTATTCAGATTGGAGGCATTTCAGCCACTGCTTAAGAAAAGAGTAAGATCTTCGTTATTATGAAATGTCTCACATGGTTCGGACTATTAATTTGAAAAACAGAAAGCACTATATCAGGAAAGACATATAATGTTGATAATATACGATTATACACATGAATATAATGATTTGTTCGCAAGTCAAAGTGTGCCAAATAACGAACTAACTCATACAAGGCCAAATTTCAAGGCGTACCGCACAATCCTGTTGCTCCTAGACGTCATGGGGACATTTAAGCACGCCACGGATCCATAGCTTCAACTTATGATGCGTATGC